AAGTTGTCAATGTCTATCTTGTGATGGAAGGGACTAACTAGTTTACTAGTATATATCAATGTATCTAGTCTATTTGTACCTTTGAACATTCTCTTTACCTGCTGGAATGAATCCTCTCAATACAGGGTAATTGTAACGATTGCGCTACCTGCGCATTTGCGCGACATGTGTTGTAGGTGCTTGTGGGTGTTTTCCTTTTTGTTTACTAGACTACCCTGTATCCTACTACACGTGTATACGCATATATAAAGGGTTTTCGAGCTAAGGGTTAGGGGATTCTTTCTCCTTCTCGGCGCTCGATTACTAGGTTATCCCAGTCAGTAGTTGAGTGCGCTGGTAAAGAGAGAATCTTCGCGTAAGGCTAGTATACCTATCCTTACACATTTTTGACTGAACCCACCTTTCCATAAACCCGCTGGGCTTTGACGACCGGAACTGAGGGCTTGATCACCCCAATACGTTCCTCACATCGCCCAGTACTCCTTCGAATTCAAAGAAATCAGTGAGTAGTTCGCAAATCTAAATTAGAGACGCATATACTCTCACTATGGCTACTAAGATACTCAGAACGCTCGAGGGACGCGAACGGATTGTTCCCCTCGATGCGGAGAGACCTCCTCGTCGATATCGCAAGAGGCGAGCGTCATTCGGAAGTGCTGAAGAGCAGCTTTCCCCGAATGCGGAGAGATTCGAAACGGTGCGCACTACAGATTTCGAATTAACAGAGCATGCAGACAATGGACAACAAGATTATCCGTTGAGTACTGAACACGATGTGGCCACCGAGCCTCAGCAGACAATCCCGGAAGGGCCCCCAAGTCCGGAAGTCGCTATTAACATGCCAGAGAATAAGTCCTCGTCCGTTGCGGGCTGGAGGCAATCTGATGACCCTTTGCCAGGTGATAAGTCCTCGTCTACACTAGGCTGGAGGCACCCTGATGAACTATTACATACAAGTAACGTAGAACAAAGGCATGTACCTGTACCGGCGCATATCGTTAGACCGATGCGCACCGTAGAGCAGACACCAGCGAGTGCTTACCTTACTGGGCTCACAGAAGTAGATAATAGCGGTACAGAGAGCGTAAACGCTCAGGAAACTGGCATCGAGGATTCTGTCAGTAAGAACAAGGGTATCAGTAAAGGAACAACGCTTTCCTTACAGCAGGAAACGTTCCAGAAGGCCAGAAAGACATTCAGAAACGTCCCTAGGCCAGAGACACCGAAAGCCATGAGTAGGCTAGCCAGTCCATTCAATCAAGGAATTGATATCGAGGAATTGAACAAGAGAACTCATAAGTACGATGGTATGCATCAGGAACATGAAGGAAACATCGATTTGGACACAATCGATCCATCCAAACTAACTGGAGACGAGTTAGCTAAATGGATGTATCAGAAAGTACGTCGTCGACACCCAGAAGCTACTAAGGGAATGCCCAAACGATTGGAAGATGCTCCACCGTTTGAAAGCACACGTCCTTGGAAGAAAGATCCAGGTAAACCTGTACCTAGCAATAAGAAAAGTGCAAGAGCGAATAAAGGAAAAGCTCCAGACATTCGTAATTACGGTCAGGTAGAACTAGACAGTTCCAGCGAAGCAGATTCCGATGTACAAAGAATGTATTTTCAGGAGATAGAGCACAGACGAAATGCGGAATCAGGACAATGGAATTTCAGAAATGAAGGCTACAGTAAGGCTCCCAGAACTCCTCAGGAATTACCGGTTCGTTTCAAGCAAGAAACGTATCGCCCCAAGATAGAAAATGAAGGCAAGGACACATACTACGGATACGACACCCTAGCAGGGCAAGGAGACGCATTGCAGAATAAAATACCTGCATATATGCACCATCATACCGATGTTCAAGGATCGACGCATACACCCAGCGCGAAACACGATATTAAAATGAACAGACCGAACCCAGACGTGATACGTACGGTTCCAGATGCATCTGATGACAGTGAAGACGAATCAGAAACCGCGAAAGGCAAAGAGAGCGAGGAAAAGAATTTCCACCGCAGTTCCGTACCCCCTATCAAGCGCAGCGCGGATAGGAATAGCAAAGGCCACAGAAAAAGAACCACACGAGATACGGCTGAGCCACAAAGCTCGAATACACCGCAGACAAATAGATTCGCATCAGTGAGACCCTCAGACAACCTCGCAAGAAAGAGTTATGTGAATCGTGCGATACAGAGAGCAGAAATCGTAAAAAGGCAGGATCCTGACCCGGATCCAGGCGATAGCTCTTCGGATTCTTCGGATTCGAGCGGATACTCAAGTTCTGACGATGGCAATGATAGCGATGCATTATTCGAACCTACAGACATTGATTCAAGCGACTCTGAAGGTACTAAGAAGCGTAAAAAGCTTGCCAAGAGGAAATGGAACAAGGAACTTCTGAAATTGAAGATACAGATGCAGAGCGCAAAACCTATCGTTCCTACAGTATATTCAGGTGAACCTAACCTTCAAAGATACACCAAGTTCGTCATGGAAGTCAATCAGTATATGAAACAATCGGGTTTACATTATTTCCCTAAAGAACAAGTGGGAGTACTACCTAATTTCATTAAAGGACGAGCTATGGACTTCTATCTACAGAAAATAGGCATGAACGAATCTCGATGGACCTTATCACAATTCTTTAAAGGTCTAATGGACTTTTGTTTCCCATCTAACTTCGCAGAAATGCTTAGGAAAGAGTTTAATACGATGAAACAAGGACACAGAGTCATACAGGAATATTTGTACGATCTAGAAATGAAAGCAATCAATCTAGGCGATATTTCTGATAGAGATTTAACCAGGAGAGCATGGGATGGACTTCATCCTAAGTATCAAAGGCAATTACGGTTGGATTGTTTGAATCCAGACACAGTTTCGTATGAAGAATTCAAAGACAGGCTTGAGAACATTGAAAAAGCGAATGAAGCCGTTGGAATTAAATGGCATACGGATACTAGAGATCGATTCTATCCTCAGAGTAACAAAGAAGACCATCGAAAAGACAGATGGAAGAAGAACGACCAGAGGAACTACAGGAATGACAATAAGAATCGACCAAAGGACAGGAATTATGATTATAATCGTAATAATCGTAACAGGCAGCGCATACAGTCTAACAGTGTAAGTCCTAAAGAGAAAGACCGATCTAAGGACTACAAACCGAAGTACAAGGATACCAGGCAGAATAAGCAAGAGAACAGTAAGAAGACTTATTCTACAGGCGTAAAAAGGCATTCACAAGCTGAACTAGACGATATGAGAGCTAAAGGACAATGTTTTATCTGTAAACAGACTACGCATTTAGCTAAAGATTGTCCTACACGCAGTACAGTAAAGCTGAACAGTGTTTCCAATGCAAATACGTCGTCTAAGAGCGTTAATATCAATTATTCCGCTCTAGATAAGTTAACCAATACTTTGGAAGACGATAATTACTTGGATTTGGATCTTATAGCAGACAATACAATGGATCCATCATCTTCTACGTCGCGAATACAATCTATGGCTATTCAGATACATTATCCAGACGATAGTTACGAGTCTACAACTCAGAAGAATGAGAATTACGATTCATTAGCTGGTTACAATACTATTTTGCAAGTATTTGGTCTAGAACGATCGGATTTGAAGCCACAACCTCTTCTGACACTTCGGAAATTGAAGATTCCCCTCGTAAATGCTGAACTTAGAAAGAGAAATCAGAGAGATGAGATCAATCTACAGAAATGGCTATTTCTACAG